CCTGCCGAGGGTGTGGCTGCGGGAGAAGGGGGTGTGGTCAGGGGAGGAGCGCCTCCCAGTCCTGCCGAGGGTGTGGCCGGGGGAGAAGGGGGTGTGGTCAGGGGGAGGAACGCCTCCCAGTCCTGCGGAGTGTGTGGCCCGGGACCCACCTCGCTGCCGGTTGTGTCCGCCTCATCTAGTTCGTTGGACTCTGGCCTCGGCACTTCAACCTTGCTGGGTCCTGAAGGATGCAGGGTGTGGGTCAGGCCAGTCTGGGGTCCCCCGGGAGTCTCCTGAGCCTGCCAGACTAGGATGGGTGGAGCCAACTCTGCATATGGGGAAACTGAGGCACAGAAGGCCAAGTGACCTGCCCTAGGGCGCCCAATGACTGGTGGCAGACTGGGGTTTGGGCCCAGGCCCAGAGTGTCCGTCAGCTGGGGTGCCTGCCCCCAGCTTGGATGCCGCCTGAGGGGCTCACCGCCTGCCTGCCAGCCCTCATTGCTAGGGTGCTTTTCCCCTCACTGAGTGTGGTTCCAGAAGCTTCTGCGGGACCCTCAGCTTCCTCCTGTGTCTGCGGGTGGAAAAGCCAAGCCCAGGAGCCTGGGGTTGTCTGTCGGGTCCACAGGGCAGAGCTGGGCCTGGAGATACCCCTCCTGGTGGGTGCTGACCACCACCCGCACTCCCCTCGGGGAAAACACTTCCCAGCTGGACTCTGACCCTAGGTGCTCACTGTACCTGAGTGGCCGTCCGGGTCAGGTGGCTGTGGGTGCGGAGGCGGCTGAGGCCTCCCTGTGTCTTCATCCCCTGTCCTGCCTGGAGAGGATAGGCCGAGCTGGGGCCCTGGAAGTGGGCATGAGGGGTCCTGGGGGGAGGCAAGTAGGTGGCTTGAGTTTATTTGGGAGTCTTCCCTGCCCCCAACGCAGCCCTGGACAGCCTATGGGACCCCACCTGGGGCTACAGCTGGGCGGGGCCAGCCTTTCCCTTTTTAGTGTGGATGAGGCAGCCTCGCTTTATCCCTGGGAACCATCTTGGTCGGCAGAGGGCAGAGAGCAGCCCAAGGTCTGGCTAGAGGGTGGCCAGGGGTGGGGGCGGGGTGTGGAGACTGAGGACAGGGTCTGAGCCGGGGCTGGGCTCCTTACCATGGGAGTGCCGGCCTCGTCCTGCTCTGGTGCTCTGGTCCCCTTGGTGCCATTGCTGAGTGGCTGAGGGCTGCGAGTCAGGGGTCTGGACTGGGTGGGTGGCTCGGGGCTGGGAGTGTGGGCAGTGGCAGGGCTGAGTGACTCAGTTTGGCCGGCTGGCTTGGTGGCATCCCGGCCCCGGCCCCGATCCGAGAGGTCCAGGGGCTTGTCTGGGGCACAGTCCTGTGTGGCTGTAGCCTCTGTCCTCTGGGTGTGGCCCGGGCTGGCGGGCTGAGTGTGTCGCCCTCCAGGCAGGACTGCTGTGGCTGGAATGGCCCTGGCCCCCTTGCTCCCAGGGCCCTCTGAGTCCAAGCCCACCGGTGGGGAGGGTAGTGTCTCCCTGCATGTGGGCTGGTCCTTTGGCCTGGCACTGCCTGCCCCAGCCCGAGCCCGCAGCTGCTGCTGAGCTAGGAGCAGGTGCAGTGCGCCCTCCAGGTGAAGGTCTCGCATGCCCGCCAGGGCACTGGGCAGCCCCAGCAGGTCTGTGGGCTCCTCCCAGGCCTCTGCTTCTCTGGCCTTCCGGTCCTGGATCCGGGGGTCTTGGGAAGCTGCAGCAGGGGCCAGGGGGCTGCTGCGGGGGCTCCCAAGGTGCAGAGACAGGGGGCGGTTGAGGAGGCAGAGCCGGTCCACCTTCGGGGAGCACTTGAGGGCCTCGGGGGTCATGGCGGAGGGCCGGGAGGCCCGCAGGAAGCTGTGAGGGAGGAGAAGCTGTGATCATGGCTGCGGTAAGCCGTGGCCGTCCGAGTGAGCCCTGAGGGGGAGAGACGACAGGCACCCCACTCCACAGGCAAGGAAACTGAGGCCTGCAGGGGTGGAGCAAGCTGCAGGGTCCCATGGCCGGTAGTGGAGGAAGGGGAGCCTCAGCCCCGCTCCGGAGGCCATGCTGTGCAGAGGTGACCTGTGGTCTGGGCTCTAAGGCGGGGCCAGGTGCCGAGGCCTCCATGTCTTCTTGGCAGGGACATCAGACCCCTGCTCCTCACCTGGAGGGTCCTGGCCACCTGCCCAGCCTCCACACTCCACTTGTTCTCCAACAATGTCCCCATCCCCTGCCCCCACACCCAGGCCTGGCCACTCTGGAGGTGTCCACATGGGAACTTTGCTCCAGGCTGAGTGCCCAGAAAAAGCCAAGCCAGAGAAGGTTGGGTGCTCTGAGGGTTAATTGGAGGGACTGCCCTGGGACCAGGTGCTGAGAGAAGAGCTGGTCTGAGGCCGCTCTGGGTGGGGGTGGGGCAGGCAGGCACCTGTCCAGAGGGAGGCTGCTCTCGTACGCTGGGCTGGGTGGGCTGCTTCTGGTGAATGCTGGTGGCGGTGTCCCATTGGCAGGGCCACGGTTGGCAGGGCAGGCCTGGGACCCAGGGCGCACCACAGCGATGGTCCCGTGCAACTGGTTGGAGATGCGCTGGGGGCTCTGTGAGGATGGGCAGGTCAGCCTGCGTGGGGCCGGCATAGCCTCTGCTGGGCAGGTCAGCCTGAGCAGTGGCGGCGTGGCCTCTGCTGGGCGGGTCAGCCTGGGTGGGGGTGACGTGGCCTCTGCCGTGGCCTCTGCCACCTGCCCTGGGCTGCTCCCAGTCTGCCCCTGCTCACTGCTAGACTCACCCTCTCAGAACTGCACCCCTACCCACACCAGATGGAGCACGGTGGCTCCTGCCCAGGATGAAGGAGGGGCACATCGGGGTGAGGTGCATGAGAGGCTGGCATGCTGCGGGTGCAGCCTCCTCTAGCCTCCTGCCTGCGCTGGCCTGCTGTGCTTGGTGGGCTCCAGGTTCCTGCCCTTACCATGTCTGGGGCTCGCGGCTCAGGCAGGGTGGCACCTGGGGAGATTCTGGCCACTGGAGATGCCCTGTGCCCCGCTGGCTTTTCTGTGGGAGGAGAGGCCGGGGTCGAGAGCTTGGGAGGTGCTCGGAGGGACAGAGGTCCAGCCCCAGGCAGAGGGTCCCTGGTCCTGCAGGGCCCCAGTCCCTCAGCCCCAGCCAGTTCCCACAGCACCTTCTCCCCGTGGACCCATGCCCTGGTGGTCTTCCTCAGCCTCCTCGTGGCCTCCCGGTGGCTTCTCTGTGATGGCCTTCCAGCCACCGGGGGAAGGGAGCAGCAGGGGTGAGGGGGGATCTGAGGTGCTCTCCTTGGCTGGGGGCTTGGGCCTATCTCTGGAGGTAAAGACAGTGAGGGTGAGGGAGAGCAACATCCCGATGATCAGAAAAGCCGGGCCCACTCCTGGGTGACCTCAGGGGACGCAGCTCCCCTGACGCTGCCTGAAAGCACTCCATGGCAGCTCCCTAGGAACGTGCTGGGGAGTGCCGGGAGTTGGGTGTCTGAGCCCCGGTGCCCTTTCCCACTCACCCCAGCCCCCGAAGCCGCTTCACCTCCTCCTTCAAGGTCTTGTTCTCTTCCTTCAGCGCGTTCATCTCGTTGGCTGCAAAAGGCACTAATTGGCAAAGCAGCCGGGGTGGGAGGGACAGGGGCAGGGGCAGGGGCATCACAGCACCAGGAAGCCCCTCAGCAGTGGCCCCAGCACGTGGCCTGGAGCCTGGCAGGCAGCAGGTACGACGTGGATGCCGGCTGTGTGAGTGGCTGGTTGGATGCCATTGAATGGGCAGCACCGGCCTTGAGGGGAGGGGGCTTGCCCTTGGTCATCAGGAGGGCCACTGGGGCCTCAGGACTGCAGGACCTTCCTCGTCACAGGGAGGACATCATGCCCTGTGAGGGCAGGGGTGCCACCAGCCCCAGCGAGGGAGGCTGTGTTGAGGGAGGGCCATGCCAGAGTCAGCTGAGGGCTTTGTATGTTTGTCTGTAAATTGGGTTGTGAGGTCTGCCCAGTGGTGTGGGGCCGATGGCCCTGCCTCCTTTCCCCACTCCCCTACACGGGCTGAACAGGCCCTGGGGTTGCCTGGCCCCGAGGGAGAGGACCCTGGTGGCCGGGCGGGCGGGGCTCACTGAGGATGAAGATTCGATGCAGGCTGTGCAGGTGGGCGCTCTCAAACTCCTGCTGCCGCTTCCGGGCCAGCTCCTGGGTGACCATGCAGCGGTCGCACAGGCCGGCCCGCAGCCTGCAGGGTGGGGAGGCGGGGAGTCAGGGATGGCACGGAGACCGAAGAGGGCCTGGGACAGTCACCGCCTCACTGCCAGGGCTGCACCTGCCCTTCCCAACCTTTTCTGTGGAGCCCCAGGCCTCTTCCCACCCCAGGTCCCATGTTCCACTGAGTATGGGGAGAAATCTTAAAAATGCAATTGACTTAAGGCTCTGAGAAGTCCTGCAATGGAGAAGCCCTCCTGGTTCAGTGTATCCTGGAGTTTCCCGAACATTCTTTGAGGAGCCCCCTGTCCTGGCCATGCTGTGAGGCGCCCTCCCAGGCCCACCTGTTCTCCAGCACCCGCAGGTTCTCCTTCAGCGTCTTCTGCTGCTCCCGGAGCTGGTGGTTCTTGGCAAAGAGCTCCTCGATCCTCTGGGCATCCCTGTGGCGGGAAAGAGCCGGGGGTGGGGGGATCTCGCTCTGCCCAGGAAGCCACACACCATCCCCACCGTCCAGCCTGGGGCCAGCACCCTCTGGCACCTGCAGCCTTTGTCTGGGTCTGGACCCTGTGGGGACTTGCGCTTGAAGCAGACCCCCTCCCCAGTCATCTGCCTGCCCCTCTGTGATGAAGGTCTTTTTTTTTGAGACAGAGTCTTGCTTCATCGCCAGGCGCCAGGCTGGAGTGCAGTGGCACGACCTCGGCTCACTGCAGCCTCCGCCTCCTGGGTTCAAACAATTCTCCTGCCTCAGCATCCCGAGTAGCTGGGACTACAGGCGCACACCACCACGCCCAGCTAATTTTTGTATTTTTAGTAGAGGCGGGGGTTTCACCATGTTGGCCAGATGGTCTCGATCTCTTGACCTCGTGATGCGCCCACCTCGCCTCCCAAAGTGCTGGGATTACAGGCGTGAGCCACCGCGCCAGGCCTGTGACGTCTCTCTTGTCCATGAACCACTTTAGCACCATGGTGCAGGCAGAGCCACAGCTGGGTCTATGAGCTTGGAACACGGGAGCCCGGAACACGGGAGCCCGCCCACCCGCCAGTGTATGGCCAGACATGACCTCAGCTCATCACCAATGTACTGTTGATATTCTGATCATGACCCTGGGGTGGGAGAGGCCCGAGTAGGAGGCTTGCCCCACCCTTGGGAGGCCGATGCACCTGGGTTCAAGTCCCGGCTTCCCTGCCTGCTTGCCATGTGACCTTAGAGAAGTGACTCCCTCAGTTTCCCCCCTGCACCATAGGATGGTAGCAGTGCTGGCACAACCGCGCCTCAGGGGGATGAAATGGCCAGTGTGGCCCCCTCAGGGAGGGCCTCTGCTTGGCCTGACTCACCGGCACCTCTCTGAGTTCAGTTCCAGAAGCTTGTTCTGCAGGCCTGGGGGAGCAAGCAGAGTGGCAGGGGGTCAGGCCCAGCCGCTGCCACCCCTGAAGCCTCCCACCACGGGGTCTGGGCAGAGCCGCAATGTGGCAGTCCCGTCCCCTGCACCCTGGGGGAGCCCTGCCTGACTCCCCAAGGCTGCCCTGCCAGGTGGTCCCGTCTGTGCCCAGGCCCGAGGCTGCCTGAGGCTCCGTGGTCTTGGTCCAGCGTCTGTCGCTTCCCCTGGGGTCTCTGGCTCTGGCATCTATCTGGGGGTGGGCAGGGACCCCGGTGCCATGAGTGGCCAGCCACTTGTGAAAGGCAGAGGGACTGAGAGGGACCACTGTGTGCGTGCGTGCGTGCGTGCGCGTGTGTGTGTGTGACAGTGTTGAAGTAGATGAGCTTTTGGGGCAGACCTCACCAGACTCCATCCTTGGGGATCCAGCCGGGCCAGGCTAGCCTGGGACTGGGGCAGGCGTGGGGGAGGCTTGGCCCAGCAGCCCCACCTCTCTCGGTTGCCTAGGAAGCAGCCAGGTCCCTGGACCTCCAGGTGGACGCGGGTGCTCAGTGGAAACACCAGGGGGAGGTGCTGTCCCTGGGACTGGACTGGGGGGCTGGGGGTTGCAGGCCTGTCTTGGTGGGGGAGGTGGACAGGGATGGGGCCCGGGGTGTGTCCTAGAGGGAAGGGAAGAGTTGCAGCTCAGTGACTTGACGTGCTCCGGCCGGGTCCTGAGAGCCACAAGCTCCTGTTTCTGGAAGCGGCGGTGTCTGCCCTGGTGAGCTCAGCAGGCGGCCAGGGTGGACATTTCTGCCACACTGGAGGCCGGCCCAGGGAGAATACAGCATGTGCAGTGTGGGGCCTGTGTGCGGCAGGTGGCTGTGAGGTGTTGGTGGCAACCCTTGAGAGTGCCCCTGCCCTCGGGGCCAAACTCTGGGAGCGGTGCGAGGACATTCGGCGTGAGAGCAGCACTTGTGGGGCCCAGGCGGGGCGTCTGGCCCTTCGTAGCTCTGGGCCTTGGGTCAGGACTTCCCTGTCTGGGCCAAACAGATGGGGTCCGTCCCCTGGCTTGTTGGGAATTGGAGGTGATTCGTGAGTGTCCGGCCCTTAGGTGGGGGCTGTGGAGACTCCTCCCCCACCCGGCATCTGCCCTGTCCCCTCACCCAGGACTTCCTTCTCATGGATCTCCTTCAGCCTGTTCAGCGACTCCATGAAGCTCTCCATGGCTCTCTGTGGCCCTGACCCGGGCCGCTCTGCACTGGGGGTGTGAGACGTCTGCAGCCTCTATTGTCCCTCTGCGCCCATCCTGAAGAGGAGGAAGGGGGGACAGCGATCCGCTCAGGAAGGGCCCAGGAGAGGACTGGGCTTCCCTGTGTCTGTGTGGAGCAGGACCCCACCATACTGGAGGGGCTGTCCCCGGGAGGTGGGCTGGAGGCCCCTGAACCCCAGGGGCAGCTGCAGAGATAGTACATTGTGCGGCTTCCTCCCCTGCTGTGGACGAGGGCAGAGGGCAAGGTGCTGGCTGCCATGTGGGAGGGGCTGCAGGGGCCAGGGGGCATTTGGGGTGAGTGCCGGCTTCTCTGAGCCACCCAGTCCTCCCCAGGTACCCGGCCCATCAGTGCCTGAACTGTTCTCACATGAGCCCTGTCCCGTGGCACCTCAGTGGAGGGACAGGGAAGCCTGATGAGAGCCGTATGGTGCTGATAGCACCTCACCAGCAAGAGCCCACAGACCCGGCCATGCCACCATCTACGTCCCTGCCCCAACACCACCATCACAGCACCTCCCTCCCTCTCACCTGGACCCTGGGACTCAGTCATCTCCTGGGATCTCTGCCCCCTTCCAGTGCCATGGAGGTTTTGATCCTGTCACACATGCACAGACACACGCACAGAGATAGCATGCACACACAACACACATGCACACACATACAAAAGACACAGAGCATGTACAACACAACACACATGCACAAAGACAGACATGCACATACAGAGTGTGTATACACACAACACACATGCACATACAGATAGCATGTACACACAACACACACGCACACACATGCAAAAGACACACACAGAGCATGTACAACACAACACACATGCACAAAGATAGACATGTACACATAAAGCGTATATACACACAACACACAGATAGCATGTACATACACCACACATGCACATGCATGCAAAAGACACACAGAGCATATACAACACAACACACATGCACAAAGACAGACATGTACACACAAAGCATGTACACGCACAATACACATGCACAAAGACAGACATGCACATACAGAACGTGTACACACACAACACATGCACACACAGATAGCATGTACACACAACACACATGCACACACATGCAAAAGACACACAGAGCATGTACAACACAACACATGCACAAAGACAGACATGTACATACAAAGCGTGTACACAACACACATGCACAAAGACAGACATGCACGTAGCGTGTACACACACAACACACATGCATACACAGAGAGCATGTACATACAACACACATGCATATGCATGCAAAAGACACACAGGGCATGTACAACACAACACACATGCACAAAGACAGACATGCACACACACAACACACATGCACACACCTAGAGACACACAACATACATGTACACACACAGGCATGCCCACACACAGCACGAACGCAGGCAGAAACACATAGACGTGGGCACACGCAGACACAAATATGTGCAGACACAGAGACACACACAGCTACACACGCAGACGCAGCACGTGGGAACACAGCCACAGTGGCGCCCTCTGCCCAAGGAAGCAGCTCCCATGTGCGGGGGCTGGAGGGGGCCAGGAAGGGGCAGGAGCCGCTCTGAAGGGGACCACTGGTCGCCAGCTCCCTCCCTCCCTCCTGCCTCCGCTACCCACAGATCCCAGGAGGTCCTTTAGGCAGTGGATATCTTGTGGCCTCACAGACTGAGGCCAGAATGAAGGGGCCGAGGGTCCTTTGCAGGCTCGACCTGCGAACCTGGGGCTGGAGCCTTCATCCTCAGACCCTCCCATGCCTTTCCAAATTCCCAGTGGCCTGCAGAGCCCCAGGCAGGGCTGGGTGGAATGAGCTTGTGGGGGTTGCGTGCCTGTCCTCCCCTGACCTAGCCCTCCTCCCACAGATTGACCTTCAGGCCTGGGAGGCTGGGATACTGCTCAAGTGGCCGGGCCTCTGCAAGCCAGCGTTTGTGACATTCAAAGCACCACGGTTCAGACTTCTTCACCCAGTGGCTTCCGAGTCACTTGGTCGGGAGGGGCAGTGTGCTGTGTGTGTGTGTTGTGTATGTGTATGTGTGTGCTGTGTGTGTGTGCTGTGTATGTGTGTGTGCTGTGTGTATGTGTGTGCTGTGTGTGTGTGCTGTGTGTGCTGTGTGTGTGCTGTGTGTG